GAGGGCCAAACAAAGGAGTATCCCTCTTCCATGCATCGTTTCCCAAGAGACATTACTGATGGAGTGTCGTCAAGGACGTAGGCTTGTGAGATTACGTCAAATGTTCCCAAGTCAATCTCGGCTTCGGTCTGAGTAGCAGTTGAACCGTTCGCAGTGTGGAACATGATGGGGTCGCAAGTTCTCTTCTTCAAGTTCATTCTTTCAGCTTTTCGTGCAGAGATCAGATCATGTCCGCTACCTGAGTCGAGAATGAATCTTCGATCTTTGGCTTGTACGGGTAGTGAAATGCACATAAGATTCTTGGACTTCATGAGGGATCTTTCAACTTCGTGCTCAACAAGCTCTTCCAAGAAATTCAAACCTTCGCTGTCGTGGTCCAATCTGACCAACATGTCGAACTTTGGGCCGATGATGATCCTCACTTCATCCACATCATGATGGAATCCAGTGTTATCCATGATGATAGCTTTAGCTCTCGCCCGAGTTTGACCAAGAGTGCTATCGGATTTGGACTGATCATCTACCAGGTCTTCGATCTTCCTGAATACATAGGGCTTGTTGGGATCACGATACATACGTTTGGGCATTCCCTCTGGGTAGTCCTTGATAGGAATCTTGTGAATTTCAGGCTCCAGGTTGAACGTGATCCTGCGAACATCAGAAGACTTCTTTGCGCTGGCTACCCTCGTCGAGGAGCATTCCTTTGCATCTTCAGTGTCGCTGTCAAAGAAGGAGTCAATAGTAATGGGAACCGCTTTCTTCTTCTTATCCTTGTTGCCGGTTCTTTCAGAAGATGCTGATGGTGATTGGTCTGCATGTAGGAACTTGCACTTGCTTCCAAACGTACATGTACCTTTCTGCCATCGCCAACATACCTTCTTCTTGGGTCCAGCTGATGAAGAACTTCCCTTACTTCTCTTCCCAGATGAGTCTCTGCTTCGACTTCTACCTTTCTTATCTTTCATCTTGGCATCATAGACCTTTTGAGAGTGACTGTATAGACATTTATCACCTTTGTTACATCCACCTTTGTTGAAGAAGTAGTTGCAGAATATCTTCTTCTTGTCAGTGGGTGATGACGATCTCCCCTTCCCGCCTTTGCCCTTGCCTTTCTTGTTCTTGTCGGCATGAGACTTTGGAGAAGGTGTGGGAAGGACGGAAGCAGCTTCGCTTTTCGCCTTGGCTTTGGGCTTCCCTTTGGGAGGATCACCTGTGGATGAAGCGGCTGCGGCATCTTCCTTCTTTGTCTTGGTGGGAGCGGCAGGTCTTACATCATCTTCCAATGCTGGAGTAGTCTTGTTGGATGTCAATGACAACTTAACTGCACGCTCTCTATCTTTCAACAGTCTTTCTTGCTTCCCTCTAGCAATGTACCCTTTAATCATGTTGAGCAGGAAGTCATAGGTCTTTTCTGGATGCCCTTCATCAAAGGTACGATATCGGCTGATATCAAAGTGCATGAGCTTTGAATGTTCAATCTTCCGGAACAATGTGTCACGCAGGGAGTTTGTGGAAGGTCGATCATCATGCTTCATGTTGTACACAATGTCAAGCCACTTGTTGTAGAAGGCTTCAAGTTGATCATCTCCATAATAGCTGAATACATACAAATGATGAGAGTTATAGAGAACTTCAGTGTGGTCAGGTGACTTGAAGCTTATCAATATCATCGCGAATAGTTCTCGTCCCTTGATGAAGTCCCCACTCTTCCCATACATCTGATTCTTCATGGACATGTCATACTTCACTTGCATAGACTTGTCCCCACCATTGTCGATGACCTTCCTCAAAGCATTGGAAAGTTTGGCATCTATGGATTGGAATCTCACTTCAGGTGCCTTGGCTAACGCATCCAAGTCTGGTTGATCTGCGAGACACGGGGCTAACCATGCTTTCCAGTCTTCATAATGTCGATCTCCCCTTGCAACGCAAACTTCATGAACAACACTTCCCTTCCAGGATGAAAGTTCAGTGGTCTTAGGCCATGGTTGTAGATTGATCTTCTCTGCCTCCCTCTGAGAAACGGAAGATTTTGATTTGTCTTTCTCAAGATTCTCCAATTCAATGACGTTGGCGTTGTACTCGTTTCTAAGTTTCTCAAAAGCCTCAGCTTCGGCACGGAATTCTTGTTCTTCATCGTTAGCACGATCTTCAGCTTGAGAGAAGTTGTTCTTGTAGTAGTCTTTGCGCTCTTCCATCTTTGTCAGTTCATCTCGAAGAGCATTGACTTCTGACTTCTTTTCATGTTTCATTTCTTCCAATTCAGCTTTCAACTTTGCACACTTCTCCTCGCACTCATTTCGAGGAAAAGCATTGTTGGATGATCCATACATTATTGCTTGCATGTTCTGTGCTGACGAAGAAGCAGCTTGGTTCTCAAGCTTCAGGGCGGCGATGGTGCTCGACATCTCTTCCACCTCAGTTTGACGTTCACTGACAAGACGATGCATGTCCGTCAGGTGACTTTCGGGAATAGAATAATCCGTTGCTCCCTTGACGATGAGCCTTCTATCATTCAGCATGTTGATAGCTTTGCCAGCATCTCGTTGAGCACGGTCAAGAGATTCCTGTTGGGTCATAACTTCGGTGTTAAGTCGGTTGATTGCCTCATCCCTGTCACTGATCTCATTGTGCAAGTTGTCGAACAGATTACTGGAAGCATTTGGATTGGCACTCATGAAGTCAATCCTTTCCAGGGCATCTTGATATTTCTTCCCAAGCGAGTCATAGGTTCGTTGGTAATTCTTGATCAAGTTCTCATTGTCAATGATTTCTGCTCTGGCTCGTGAGTACATACCGTCAACTTCGGCTTTGGATTTCTTGAGACTGTCACGTTCACGTAGCACCTGCAAGTACATGTCATATTGCTGTTCACTGTGAGGTGACCTACTCGGAGACGTTCTCCTGGCCTGTTGACACGATAGTTCATGATATTGATTCTTCGATTCAGTCAATTGCTGTTGCATTCGATCCAATAGGCTTTGTTTCATGTGTAGTTCAGAGCGTAGTTCCATGATCCTCATGTCACGCATCCCACTTGCCTTAGATGTCAGCTCTTCAGAATACCGGCTTTCAGATGTGGCTAGTTGTGATTGTAGCCCCTCATTGCGAATAACCTGTAACTGAAGTTGTGATTCCTCCAAAGCAAGATGATGTTCACATTCAGAATATCTGTTGTGTTCGGATCTCAGATCACTACGAAACTCTCTCATGATGTCTTCCCTCTTCGCATCAGCAGAATCAAGCTCCGTTTCCAGTCGTCTTATACTCAATGACATAGCGTTCTTCATTGTTTGGTTTTGATTTGCAATCTCGAGCATCTCGATGTGAAGTGCACACGTTTGGTCATTGGCATATCCGACAGCTAGGGCTTCCTGCTTCGCGTTCATCTCTGCGTTTTCCAGTTCCAGTCTAAGTTGATTGATGTGAGCATTTGCATCTGTACCTACATGTACCATGATTGCATTCGCTTGTCCCATTTGTTCATTGAATTCAGTTCTCAGTTGTGAATACCTAAATTCCAAATGAGATGCTGCTTCATTCGACATGGTTCGATACCTCTCCAACTCTTCGATCCTGTATGTTGCACCTTCATCTTCTTGTTGAGCGGCTTGCAACTCGGAGTTCAGGGTCTGAAGTTGTTGAGCCATCGATGTCATCTCTTGATGGGTGGTGTTCTCCAGGTAGTTGAATTGTTGATTGGCATAGGCGGCCATCTCGGTCAATCTCGCTTGAAGTACAGATTCTTCTTCAGTAGCTCTGTCCAGTGATGCTTTGTATTCGGAAAGTTCACTCTGATAAGCAGTGAAGACATCGCTACCACTTGATAGAGTATTCACTTGTTGAAAAGATCCTACTCCTGATGGTGTAGCGTCCTGAATCGGTGAAGGCGGATTCGAAGATGTAGGCTTCGCCTTAGTCCTCGGAGTCATTGGAGGCGACGATTGTCGTGCGGATGATCTCCTCTTTCCAGGTGTGTTGTCCCTGTCTTCAATCGCATGTATTGTCGGTAATTGTCTTCCTCTCGGGGCAATCAGAGGTCGTCTGGATGTGCTAGGTCTCAGTTCTGAGGCATCGCTTCCACCAGTATCGAAACTCTGTGAAGAATTTGACTGCGTGCCGGCAGCTGGTGCGGCGGCATGTCCAGCAAATGAGAATGCGTTGTCGCTGCTGTCTTCCTCGGCCATTGTTGTAAGGTCCGCAAGTACCCGCTCGTAGGCTCCGTGGGAGACCTACGGCTGATAACCTGTGAATCGGACGTTCCTTGTCCAATATGTCCTTGTTGTCTTGTATAATGATCTGTCTCACGTCTAGCAAGTGATCAACCAGAGGCGCGCATCATTGCTTTCCTTTTACCGGAGCTGTGCAGTAGGGGTCTTGAGCCAAAGGGTCGACGTCATGTGAGACCCTTGGCAGGAACTTCTGTGACTCTATATACATTAGGGATATTAAAGTCATCCGTAGCCGTATCCCTATTCACAATATACACCATATATATATATCATATATATATATATCATATGTATATCATATATATATATATATCATATATATATATATCATATGTATATCATATATATATATCATATATATATATATACATATCATATATATATATACATCATATATATATATATATATCATATATATATAATAATATATTGTATATAATAGTATATACACAATATTGTACAATATATATATATATTGTACATACTTTGAACATCCATGATTCCGGTTAAAAGCATGTGCTGCTTCATGAGAGGTAAGGTCACGTTGCTGTGAATCAAGGAGCCCCTGTTCCCAAAAGGGGATGACTGGTGCGATAATTACATTGTGGGGTAGATATATACCCATTCAAATGTATATCCACACATATATATATATATATAATACATATGATATGTACATATATACATGTATGCATGAATATCTTCTATAGAAATTACAGCAAGGTCTATATATTTGCACTACGGGGACGCCCGTATAGGGATCCGTGCAGATCGCCGGCTGCCGTCGGCCTGTCAAGCATTTTCTTGATATCCCTATAAATGGAGGTTTTTCATGGGAAAGTCATAGGAAAAGTAGGAAACTCATGGGAAAACATAGGAAAATGAAAATCTATCCTCTGGTCAAACATAAGAATCGACAATTCGATACAATTCCCCATTTATAGATATTTATAGATGATAAACATGATGATTTACCTGTGAAAAATGATGATTTTCCATCGCTACATCAAAAAATAACCAGAGGGCCATTCTCCATCATCTTCGCTGCAATCCCTCGACACGTCATCCACTCAAATACTCAAGTTGCTGCCTCCCCAGCTATGTTTGTTGATAAACCCCAGCAACTAGTTCGATATATTATATAATATATATATATATACACATCATAAACCCTAGTGAAATATCAGTGATAAAGAAGCTGAGCCAAGTATGGGGCACCACCTTGTAGTCTACATTTTTTTCTTGGCTCTGCACCTCGCTGCCGCTGTGGCTCTCCTGCTTGCAGTTGAAGCAAGAGCACTAGAGAGCAATGGGCTCAAGATTATCAGTAATGGAGCAAAACAGCATCACATATCATCACATATTAATGTAGTGTCTCTCTGATCATATATATATATATAATAGACTGTGGCTAATATATGACCTTTGAAATTGGGCAACAACATGGATATATGTCTGAAAGTGGGCTGATACCTTGGAAAAATGGCAAGTTCTAAGAAAGAACTAATGATTAACCAGGACAAGGTTGTCTCCATAGTCAGCTAAGTTGGATATATCGAACTAGTTGCTGAGGTTCATCAACAAACATAACTGGGGGGAACCGCCTTGCATTCTATTCATATGTTCCCCCTTAAAAATCCCATCATTTTTCGTGATTGAACGAATAGTGTACGGGGATATATCCCAAAATTCATCCAAAATTCATCCACCATGGTCCACCATTGTCCCATGATTTCCCAAGTTAAATCCCACCCTTCTCGCGGCGCCGGCCGTTTCGCGGCCCGCCTGTTCCATGCACCTCTCCGGCGAGTCAGGCTTGGCCTCCAAGAGATATGAACTAGTTGAATTAACTAAGGTTTCTGGCAGAAAATGAGAAATATATGGTGTGTATATATATATATACATATCATATATATATATATATGATATATATACATATATCATATATATATATATATGTATAAATACATAGTAGATATGTATATATATATATACATATACATAATATATATACAGAATATACAGATATATAATATATATATATACATATGTACATAATATATATATAATATATACATATATATACATATATATATATATATACATAATATATATAAATACATAATATATATATATATATATATACATTATATATATAATTATATAGATATATGTCTATATAACATTATAAAACTAAGATTAACTAACGTTAGCTAGAGTCTAGAGTTAAGAAACATTGACTTATGGTATGTATTAACAGCAACTCATGGTATATAATAGTTAGTTAATTGATGTTCATTACCCCGTTTGGATATAAATCACCATCTCGCCAACTTTAACACAGCCCAAATAAGTAATCTCTGTCGGTGAACCCCTAAAATCCCTTGTGAAATGTACCCGGTGATGTCACCCACCAGACCTGTGGCACACCAAGCTTTGTGCCCCCGTGTATTTTCCAAACTGAATATGCTTCGCAGTGAAACACAAACTTGAGCATTTTTTACGATCCATATTAACATCCATAAGGTCCATAATGTAACGTTGAAATTATTTTGGTGAGACATTTACAGATTTATCAACATTGATCAACATTTACATGGCTATATACATGTATATATATATGTATGTATATATATATGTATATATATATATATATGTATATACGTATGTATATGTATACATATATATATACATATGTATATATATATATACATATATATATATACATATGTATATATATATATACATATATGTATATATATATATGTATATAATATATATATATACATATATGGTTGGTGGTATACCTACCCCTGTGAAAAATGATGGGGTTCGTCACTTGGGATGATGACATTCCCAATATGATGGGAAAGTCTAATCAAATTCCACGGTTCCAAAATGTTCCAAACCACCAACCAGCAGTTGGTTTATAACTTCCATATACTTCAATAATTATGGTTTATGGTACTTATAACTGTAATGAATTAATATAGTTATATAATTCCAATGTAATCCAGGCAATGGCACCTCCTCGCTAGCGAGCTCTGCCGTGCGGCCGGACCTAGGCGATTGTTTGTATTGGTGGCTTTCACCGACATGGCATACCTAAATTCCTCATGTGAACATATATATAAATATCATCAACACTGGAAGCAATCACTCATGCTAGCTCTACAGTTTTGACCATCCATCTTTTATCTGGCAATGATCATCAGGTTGGAATCAGGGCAATAAATATCCTATTTGTCAATATATTTCGATACCCTGCCGAGGCATATTTCCGCAAGACAGCATGTTGACTCCAACAAGAGCAAATGGATCCCCATCAACAAGTTTGTCTGAAAAGTGGGTACCCAAAACTCTGATGGTTCAGAATTGTCAGTAATTTTCAAATATGTTCTATATGAAGAATAATCCAGAAATAGGTGGTACACACCATCCACAAATTGGAGTATAGTTTTTGGCTTTACCACTTTATTCACCATCAAGCTGTGGTGAGGTCGTTTCAGGTTGTCGAATATGGTGAAGCGTTCAGTCATATTGTGACTGTGAATTGGCAGTCAACCATTTTCACATCGACATATCCATTTTTTTTGGTTCAGGTCCATGGTGGTATCCGTATAAACAATCCATATGAATATCTCCTTCAATATCCCTATGATTTTCGGGGAAAAATCAGCGTTGGAAGGGCGCCTGCAAAGCAGGTGTGGAAGATCCGGCCGCTGGCTGGCGTCCTGATGCGGCCAGCACTGCATGTTTCATGGGTCCGGAAATTGCCATCTTTGACAAGGTACCAGGTATATCCAGGTATCTGGTAAACATAACTGGAAAATCACATCATTTCACTGGGATTTGAATAGCCACTAAAATTAGTTGGCCACTGATTATAATTTGGTATACACCTCTTCAGGTTTTCTGGAAAGTAACTGGAAATAATTTGAATTCCACTGGGATTTTCAATAGCCAGCTGTTACCAGAGGCCGCTTATTGATTGAAATATAGATTGAAATAGATTTATAACCGTTTATAACCCATTAAAAAATCGTGGTAGTTTTCATACGTACTCGTTTCGGACAGAACATGTTTGGAAGTTCAGTATGAATCCATTTTTGCTGGGTCAATTCTGACCACTTTTCCATCCTGGACAGACACTCTGGCAGCAGTAGCACTCTCTTAGACTCTATGCGTGGTAGACTGATTGACTCCATCAGGCCAAGTGATGCAGTATGATGCAGTACAAATCCATATACACAGCATAGACAGGCATATTCAGCAAAGTGCACTCTTGATTGGGGATGATTGCGGGAACGGTCCAGAATCATTTTACACCTCAGAACTTCCGCCTACATTGACTGGTTCCAACATATTGTCAAGCAGCCTGAATACCTTGGATTTTGGATCACAAATCCGCAGTTCTCCTTCTGTTTCAGACATGAAGACCTGCAAACTCCTGAGCTCAACCTCAACGAATCCCAACGAGACCTCTTGAAATTCTCGAGCCGACGCATAGGGAGTTGGGAGTCTGTCGTGCACAGATCGAGAACCAACCTGGCCAAGCGATGATGTGCAGGCACCAGTCGCTACAGTTTCCCAAGACCTTATCTGGCAAGATGTGGCAAACACGGTTTTCAATTTCATCACAACTTGTCGCAAAGCCTTCAGGACACTCCTAATTGACCAGAGAGCTGCATGATGACACGTCCACAGATACACAGTAAATACCCACAGATCCCGCATACGCCTCCGCACCAAACGGGTGCAGACCAGTGGTTCGTGGCACCTCGGACATGACGGTGTTCTCCCAGTCAACAGGAAGTGTTATATTTTTTTACTTTTCACAACCTTTAGTAGGCGCAAGTTCCTCAACCCCAACTGCTGGTGGATATTGGCATCTGACTGGTTCGAATTCACTCGGCCCATCTGTAGCCATCCGTGCATTTCAGAGAGGGCAACTATTGGGGCCCTTTTAGTATTGCCGAACAATTTAATTGAAAACGAAAACTTACTTGCACATGGAAAGCTGTTGGAAGTTCAAATTTGAGAAGATTGAGACTTGTAAGATTTGCAAATTCAAAGGTTTCAGCAAGCTTCAGGTGAAACAGAAACGATTCAGAACTTGATTAACAACAACTAGTAATTCCCTTTCAAGGAGACTTCGTTCGACCATGTTCGACCTCATCTTTACTTCGTGAAGTAAAACTTAAGGTAGCCCCACAGAGACCCATCATATCCATCATTAGATTGTTAATGCATACTATACTAAGTACATCTAAGTTCTAGTCTAGTACCGATCAATATATGAAGGATCATCCCACGAATCCCCAAGTGGCTTAAGAGAAATTTACAGGCGAACAAGAGGACTTGACAGGAAAACCATGGAAAGTCAATGTTTTCCCGTCTATTTTCCTGCAATCACCTCAATCAGAAGCACCAAGAAATCACTCTGATTGACTCAGAAACACTGTCCTAAGCCTTCAGGCTGATGCCCCTGAGGTATAGACAAGCCCAGGTAGCACCTGCAAGAGGAGAAGCATGGAAGGGAGAGGAACCAACCTTTCTGTGTGAAGAATGCTCGCATTGAGAGCATGAAGAATCTACTGATCTCTGTATCATTCTCATTGTGTCTTTATGACGTAAAAAAAATCCTGTCCATGGAACCAATGTTTCTGGGATTCCCTCAGGCTCGGACAGAGGTCACCATGTCGCTAAATTGAACCTCGCGGTCATCAGCCACGTCCTCCTCGCGCGATTTTGCTACCATCATTGTCATCATGTCAAAACTATCACTAGGGTTTCTCATAAACTCCAAAAAATCCCTGATGTTTCTCACGATCTCAATGCATCAAAACTATCACACTTTCATCTTCTTCCAAGCCAGCAGTCGCAAGAGGTTCATGGACCCATCTCCTTCACGAAAGGTGTGGGAATCCGATCCCTTGAAGGCCTACGCTCTCCGACTGGAACAGCCTGGCATCCAGATTGCCAAAAAAAAAGGAATACCTGTGAAAAACACCAACCACGAACAATCGGAGTCAAACTTGGGAAATCAATGAAAGACATACATATACATAACATTACATAATATTACATTACATTATGTACAGTATGTACGGTATGTACGGTATGCACGGTATGCACGGTATGTACGGTATGTACGGTATGTACGGTATGCACGGTATGCACGGTATGTACGGTATGTACGGTATGTACGGTATGTACGGTATGTACGGTATGCACGGTATGCACGGTATGTACGGTATGTACGGTATGTACGGTATGCACGGTATGCACGGTATGTACGGTATGGACGGTATGTACGGTATGCAGGGTATGTATGGTATGTATGGTATGTATGGTATGTATGGTATGTAGGGTATGTATGGTATGTATGGTATGTACGGTATGTACGGTATGTACGGACTGCACGGAATGTACGGAATGTACGGTATGTACGGTATGTACGGTATGTACGGTATGTATGGTATGTACGGTATGTACGGTATGCACGGTATGCACGGTATGCACGGTATGTACGGTATGTACGGTATGTACGGTATGTACGGTATGCACGGTATGCACGGTATGTACGGTATGTACGGTATGTACGGTATGCACGGTATGCACGGTATGGGCAGGTATGGTATGTATGGTATGTATGGTATGTATGGTATGTATATGGTATGTATGTATGGTATGGTACGGTATGTACGGTATGTACGGTATGTACGGTATGTACGGTATGTAGGTATGTACGGTATGTATGTACGGTAACCGGTATGTATGGTATGTATGGTATGTATGGTATGTATGGTATGTATGGAATGTATGCAATGTAATGTAATGTAATGTTATGTTATGTTTTTTTTGTAATGTATGTAATGTATGTCATGTATTTAATGTATGTTATGTTATGTTGCGTTATGGTATGGTATGTTATGCAATGTAATGTATTAATGTAATGTATTAATGGAATGTAATGTAATGTAATGTAATATTATGTAATGTTAACATACCATACATACCATACATACCATACATACCCTGCATACCGTACATACCGTGCATACCGTACATACCGTACATACCGTACATACCGTGCATACCGTACATACCGTACATACCATACATACCGTACATACCGTACATACCTTACATACCATACATACCATACATACCATACATTCCATACATACCATACATACCCTGCATACCGTACATACCGTGCATACCGTACATACCGTGCATACCGTACATACCGTACATACCCTACATACCGTACATACCGTACATACCGTACATACCGTACATACCGTACATACCGTACATACCGTACATACCGTACATACCATACATACCATACATACCATACATACCATACATACCATACATACCATACATACCATACATACCATACATACCATACATACCATACATACCATACATACCATACATACCATACATACCATACATACCGTACATACCGTACATACCGTACATACCGTACATACCGTACATACCATACATACCATACATACCATACATACCATACATACCATACATACCCTGCATACCGTACATACCGTGCATACCGTACATACCGTGCATACCGTACATACCGTACATACCGTACATACCGTACATACCGTACATACCGTACATACCGTACATTCCGTACATTCCATACATTCCGTACATTCCGTACATTCCATACATACCATACATACATAACATTACATTACATAACATTACATTGTAGTCACGATCTTGCAGATAGAAAATGCAAAAATCACTACGAGTTAAACAATGACACATAGAAACTTTGACCGATCTTGCAGATAGAAATGAATGATGAAAAAAGTGAAGTTTACGTACAATATATATATATACACGTTTTTCTCACTTTTGTGCCAAAAAAATCACAGATAGAACAATGGACTTCAAAAAAAGGGGTAAAAAACATCACGAAACCATATATATATATTATATATATACACATAATCTTGGCATTTTCATTAAAAAAAATGCAGCTCGTCACACGGGGAAAAAAAACACAAAACCATATATATATATACATATATATACGCGAAACCTTAATTTTATGGCCAAAATTTAAATCTATTTTTTTTGTTTTTTCCCCGTCTGAACAGGGAAAATGTGAAAAATGACACATAGAAAAATGACACATAAAAACAAATCAATTTTTTGCATATATCTCATGTTAAAACTATTTATATACCACTGTGCAAGTTCACCAATCAGATTGAAGATTGTGATTCTGTGTATATATATATATTAGAAACTAAACGTTGTATATATAAATTATGGACCCAGGAAAACCTATATAGCTATATACAAACATCATATATATATATATAGTGATTTTTCAAATCTATGCATAACATTCTTTTCATATCATGTTTTTTTCTTTGAACCAATAAGCAGCACTCCCGGGCAATGGTTCCATGTTTTCTAGAGCCTAGTCTCTGTATGTATATATATATATAGAACCAATATATTCGAATAATTCGAACTTCCTCGAATCTCAGTGTTTCTGGACTTTGGGCACCTAAACGACTCAGAGGTCTCAAAAAGTTGTTCTGTAATCCCTTCCTCCTAATACTAAACCCCCCCCCCCTAATACAAAACACGGCAGGTAGTTTTTAGTATTAGGGGGGTATTTATTATTAGGGAACCAAATCGAAGTCATGTTAATTAATTAATTAAATTTCCTTATGTAACGCAATTAAAATATTGCCAAAAATGGCAGTTCGAAGCTTACCCCTAATACTAAACAAAAACCCTTAATACTAAAAACTATTTTTTCCGATCTCAAAATCAATTAAATTTCCTTATATAACGCAATTAAAATATTGCCAAAAATGGCAGTTCGAAGCTTACCCCTAATACTAAATTAAAACCCTTGATACTAAAAACTATTTTTTCCGATCTCAAAATCAATTAAATTTCCTTATATAACGCAATTAAAATATTGCCAAAAATGGCAGTTCGAAGCTTACCCCTAATACTAAATTAAAACCCTTAATACTAAAAACTATTTTTTCCGATCTCAAAATCAATTAAATTTCCTTATATAACGCAATTAAAATATTGCCAAAAAAGGCAGTTCGAAGCTTACCCCTAATACTAAATTAAAACCCTTAATGCTAAAAACTATTTTTTCCGATCTCAAAATCAATTAAATTTCCTTATATAACGCAATTAAAATATTGCCAAAAATGGCAGTTCGAAGCTTACCCCTAATACTAAATTAAAACCCTTAATAATAAAAACTATTTTTTCCGATCTCAAAATCAATTAAATTTCCTTATATAACGCAATTAAAATATTGCCAAAAATGGCAGTTCGAAGCTTACCCCTAATACTAAATTAAAACCCTTAATACTAAAAACTATTTTTTCCGATCTCAAAATCAATTAAATTTCTTTATATACCGCAATTAAAATATTGCCAAAAATGGCAGTTCGAAGCTTACCCCTAATACTAAATTAAAACCCTTAATACTAAAAACTATTTTTTCCGATCTCAAAATCAATTAAATTTCCTTATATAACGCAATTAAAATATTGCCAAAAATGGCAGTTCGAAGCTTACCCCTAATACTAAATTTAAACCCTTAATACTAAAAACTATTTTTTCCGATCTCAAAATCAATTAAATTTCCTTATATAACGCAATTAAAATATTGCCAAAAATGGCAGTTCGAAGCTTACCCCTAATACTAAATTAAAACCCTAATTGCTAGAGTAGCTAGGCAGCTTGGAGTGAGGGATTGGGACTAGGCCCCCCTAATACTAAACACCCCGGGGTGAACTAGTTTTTAGTATTAGGGGGAGAACCCACAAATGGTAGGTTGATTTTTAAATTGTTTTTTAAAGGGGATCAATTAAAAGTCAAATTGGCCAAACTGAAATTTTCGGAAATTGGAGATGGATGCCTGTTTTTAGTATTAGGGGGACGTTTAGTATTAGGAGGAAGGGATTAATAAATAATGGGGGACTTCAAAAGCATCGGTATATGTTTTTTTTCTATCTGTGATTTTTGTTGTCCTTTTTAAATTGTGAGTAATCAACATCGACCTTGATAGTTGCCATATATGTTATATTATGTTATCAAATTTCAAGAGTAATGCTCTGTGGGAGGGTACGGTACGCAGGGTATAAGGGTACGCACATGTGGTACGCAAAACCGGTACGCATGGTACGCCTGGATGGTGCGGGGGGGTGCGCATAGATGGTACGGGTGGTACGTATAAATGGTACGCATGGTACCTCCTGACCTTCGGGGGGGGGTTATTAATCCGATGTTGACATTACATACGATTTACAAATTCATGATACCACATGGTACGACACCATTTCGGCATCCAATGGCACACCACTTTTCACTCCATGCCTGGCTGGCAGGCATCCTGGCACTGTCACCGTTGCGGCTGTGGCATCCCTTTTTGTGGCCATAGAAAAAAGGCCGGCGGTAGATATTTGGATCAATACAGACACAATACATGCGTACTGTTATTTCTTGTCATACGTCATACACTTTTAAGCTTTTAGCCGCGTCCACATTCACTGTCCACTATGAAATGATCTGTAGCCCACTTTTCAATGACCCCGGCACCTCTCGCCGCTGGCGCGAAGATGATGATCCGGCACAATCTCCGTCTGAATTTCCTGGCGCACAAGTTGTGTCCTCGCTACCCTCATCTACCATCCGCAACTCAGTAAAGAAATTGGCCCTTTTCCAGGACTTGATGTGATTGGACAGTCTCTGCAAAAAATCTTTGTTTCCATTATCCAGTGACACACAGCTCTTCTCACACTTTACAGCTCCAAAGGAGGGTCGAGTGTCAGGGCCACGGGAAACCTGCGGTTTGTATAAGGTGCTTGCCCTTTCATGGGGAGTCATATTCAACAAACATTGAACGATGATGTTTGGAAACCCGAGAACGGGATATCGTCTGACGTCGCTCCAGTGCGCTACTTCGTTGGGCAGAGAAACAGAGGGGCAATATTTGGGAAACTCCAAGGTTTTGATGCATCAAAACGTCAGAAAGCATTCAGCTGTACCAAAATTGCGTCAGCACTGGATTGCCTCTGCGCTGGAATGCACTGAGCGAGCGTCTTCAAACGGCTCATCGTCCTTCGGGCAATTCGTCAATGGGGTCAAACCAAACATGCGCAGTCACGGCGGCAATGCTATCCACTGCTCAGCACTAAATATGATGTCATATCACGATTGGATTTTTGAATCTGCGCAATATATCGCAATATAATGTGTAATCACTGGATGCTTGCAAGTTCGCTGATCAGAGATTGGATTGATGATTGCCTGATGTGCATGGCTCAGATTTGGGCTGCAAGTCCTTCATGAAAGGTGTGGCTATGCGTTCTCTTGTGGACCGCGCTTCGCGGGATATACGATTTGCGTGGGTGCAGGAGGTCAGAATCCCAGGATCCCAGGGACAAGGCTGCGCGCAGCATACCTGCAGTCTTGCCTTTCACACCACTTTGTCACACACCATCTTTGACACACCCTCTTTCACACACCCTCTTTGTGACACACCATCTTTCACACACCATCTTTCACACACCATCTTTCAGACACCATCTTTCACACACCATTGTTTACACCCAACTTTGTCACCCACCATCTTTCACGCACCATCTTCCACACACCACTTTGTCACACACAACTTTGTCACACACCATCTTTCACCACACCATCTTCCACACACCATCTTTCACCACACCATTTTTCACACACAATTTTGTCACACACCATCTTTCACACACAACTCTGTCACATGCTCTCTTTCACACAGAACTTTCACCCACACCATCTTTCACCACACCATCCTTCACACACCACTTTGTCACACACCATCTTTCACCACACCATCCTTCATGTTTGTCACACACCATCTTTCACACATAACTTTGTCACACACCATTTTTTGACACACAATCTTTCGCACACAACTTTGTCACACACCATCTTTCGCCACGCCATCTTTCACACACCACTTTGTCACACACCACTTTGTCACACACCATCTTTTACACACAGCTTTGTCACACGCTCTCTTTCACACACAACTTTCACACACACACACACCATCTTTCACACACTGCTTTGTCACACACACACCGTCTTTCTTCGTCACACACCATCTTTCACATACAACTTTGTCACACGCAACTTTGCTTTACTTGTCGGTCCTCCACCACATCCTTTGTCGTTCCTTCTTCCCCGTCCCCGCTACAACATGTGGTTCTCATTATTGGAAGACGTTGCCTTGTGGGGTTATCCGGTCCTTTACTTGCTCCTGGTAGCAAAAACCACGGTATTTACAGTGTTTTGTGGCCAGCACCTAGCAAAAACAGTGGTATTTACGCAGTTTTCAGCATGTTGCGAGAAGTACTTTTTCCATGCCAAAAGGACAAAAACACTATAAATTACAGTGTTTTGGCTTTTGAAACCGGTGAAAAACGTCAGAAAACAACCAACAAGTGTCCAAAATGCACCTGGCTCCAGAATCTCGGTCTGGTTCGCCATCAGTTTTCCCCTTCAAAAAGCAGTCAAATCCCAGGCAAATGCTATTTCCATTGTTTTTTCCATGAATTCTTTACCCGCTATAATCACTATATATTACTGTATATAACCGTCACTACAACCTAAAATCTGCCCCCGGGCCCACCTGATTCTGCATCTGCAACGGTGCCACCATCGGCGGTGAACGGGAATTTCCCGCATCCGTGTCCTCCATGTGCAGATCCTGGTGGAGATCAGCATGGATTTCCATAATAGGATTTTCATGGATTTTTACTATAGAAAAATATGGGCTTATATAAGATTTGATAAGATTATCCAAGAAATACTGTGAAACCTCTTTCTCAATTACAGCATTTGCCATTAAAGTTGGAAATATGAGAGTTTAAGACCATTTTCACCTAAGTAAGCTATTCAGTGGCTTAATTCATGATTTAATAACAATTCTGAGATCCATTGCTTTAGCACCACACTTACGGTTTCCCTTTCAACCAACAATGTGAAGCCAGGAATGGACACCGGAGGAATAATGAAACAAACACACAGGAGCGACAATTTTTGCCCCTAATTTCCAGGTTTACTCTTGCATCATTTCCATCTAGTTTGGGGCTGCTATATGATTTTCAATACCGGAGAGAGAGAGAGATAGAGAGAGAGAGAGAGATTGAGTGAGATAGGAGACAAAAAAAAACTACGAAGAAAACATACCCACCAAAAATCTCAAAAACTCAAGAGATTGAATATTTCAGCACATTTCAGAGTCTGATTGGTTCCAAGGATTGCTTTGGGAAATCTTCAGTGTAAAAACCATGGCTCCAACCCATTCCATGAAAACTCATCCCAAATATCCGGGAAATGGTCCCATGTTACCTGTCACAATTTGGTTTAAAACCATGCTAGCAACCCAACAAAAACACCATGGTTTGTGGCTTAAAATCCAAAAACGCCATTGTTTGTGAGTTAAAATCCCCCATATAGTATTATATAAATATTACTAATATATAATCCCATGGAAAACTCCTGTCTTTGTGAAAAATTTCCTCCACCAAGCGCTTCTGCAGGGCCCGGAGGCGAAGGTATACTTGATCCAAGACGGTTTTGAAGTGAGACACCTCCTGCGCCACTGTTTTTACCCAGGCTTCGCCGACTGGGATTGAATGTAGATTTAGCCGCTCAGAATTGCTACACAATCTCTTTGGTGATTGATTGATTTCAAATCGGGAAATTATTATACATTTCGAAAAATCTGGGGTAATTATGGCACGATTATGAGGAGAAAAAACATGAACCGCAATTTGGGGCAGATGGGATTTTAATCAATGGGTCAAGACCCAGGCTGGTTCATTCAATGGATTGATTTAGGGAGACCGTCCCGATAGGGGGGGGTGGGGGGGGGGGTTGTTTGGGAAGAAACCGGGGGGGGGTTGTCCACAGAACGAGGGGCTGGGCTGGGCGCGCCCCACCCGGGGGGGTTGTAGAGACAAAGGGGGGGTGAGGTAGCTTTCCCCGTATTAGGGGGCCCTGGAACCTATTCTAACACTTGTGGTCAGCAGCGCGAACACTTCTCTTTTCTGCAGGTTGCAGCGAGTCTTGAGCCACGGAGTGGCGCAGCGGTTGATGAGTGAATTACGGTAAACATGCTACATGTCCTAATGCAGGCTGTAAAGCATTGTGTAGACACGTAAACATGAATACAAAAAGAAATCACAAACAGACACAAATTTTCTTCGTGTCGGAACATGCAAGATCTGCACAAGAAGCGCTCAGCTTGTGCTCTGCTGTGAAACGGTCCGAAGACAAAAACTGTACACTGTCAGCCGTAGTGTCGGCGTTGGACAAATTATGGCAGCTTGGGCGTCTCCTTGGATTAGAGACCCATTGTAAAAGTATAGCCGTACAAATGCAGCTCGTTTGCTCTTCTAATGCGCGACGGCTGATGGAAAAAGATGCTTTCATCGGGAGTCTGCGGGCACAGATCAATCCATGTGCCGTCATGTTGTTGTCGCCATCGCTCATACGGTGCATAGTATCCTTGTGCGTATTCTACCGTATTTTGTTGTTGAGCCCAGCGATAATATGGAGGCTGATAATAGCCGTGGGTTCGGCGTCCGGTTGAAGAGGAAGCTTGTTCTTCTTCTCGCTGTGCAAGCCATTGTGATGCAGAGGATTGGTAACCGGTTGGCGGTCTATTTGGAGGCGATGGCGGTTGAGGTCGTACTGGAGGTGGTGGTTCTGGAATGTCACGTGTGGTGTAGGATGAAGCTGAGGAACGGGTGTTCCTCCAGGATGCTTGATAGTGTGGCCGATGTTCGGCGCTTGCATTTCTTCTGTAGTCTCCTCCAAAGTGTGACCGATCTTCGGTGCGACTACGTTCTCTGCCTCGGCTTTCATGCTCTCTCCACGGAGGAGTGCTTCCAGTCATGGGACGTGCCGAGGTCTCAGATCCTATAGGGCGCTCAGGCCGCGGCGGCGGCAGCGGTGGAGGAGCTTTGATTTTTGATGGACGGTATTCGATCCTAGTGCCCGATTTCTGTTGCATTTCTTGATACTTTTTGATGGATATTGGTGGTGCCTTTACAATAATTTTTGGTTTTGGATTATCAGTATCTGTTGAAGACGATGTTGCTTCAGGAGCCGGTGGCGGCGCAGGTGGTCGTTTGGCAGAAAGAAAACTACTGGGAACTCGACTGGCTGACCGGCTGCGGTTCTCGCCAACATGTCTATGGGAATCTTTACGCAATGGTGGCATGGCATCTCGGCCTTCACGGCGCTCTTCGGTGCGATCATTTCTTCTTTCCTTGTAAATATCATTAAGCCTATTCCAATTCTGGCGCCGGCGACGTTCACTTTCTGGATTTCGAATTCGAAGATTCTTGAATACCCTGAGATTTGCCATAACCATTAAAGGTGAGTGCCAGTCACAGTCACTATCTCTTAATCCTAAATCATAATTAAGCAAATGTTTCAAATGTTCTACATCGGCTAATGTGACCTCATCATCAAATCCGGCTGTCGGAACATTATCGTCTGGAGGTGCATCTCCCTTGGCCCGGGCTTCGGTGACGCCAACTTGTTTGCCGTAGCACAGTGAAATAAGGATCATGGAATCACAGTTGGCGCTTTCACCTTGCATTGCTCGAATATATTCAGCGGCCATGGTTGAGGAAACAACATTGTAAGTGATGGCATTGACCGGATTTCGGTGTAAGTTGATCTGAATCAAAAATCTTTCGAGAATATCCATAAGAATTGACGTCCGAAAATCGGAGTGATCGTCACGTTTGAAATTGCGCTGACTAAACAAATTACCGTCTCCGGTGATAAAATCAATTTGGTGATTAACACAACAAGCAATAAAATTAAGCCAACGTTTACAAGTTTCTGCATAGGCCCATGTCCAGGCATAGCTGCTCAAGTGGAAAACGGCGATTCTGATTTCAGCTAAACCGAGACGGTGTACACTGTGGGTCACAGAACCAGAACCTACAGGCAAAAGTTCACATTCAACAACATCAGACTTTCCTTGAATTTCAACAATCTGGTCGGATGAAACATTGGAAGAAGCGAGTGGTTCCGGATGCGGAGAAATAAGTGATTCAGCATTAAATTCAACATTAGGCATTGGTTCGCGGACTCCGGTTCTCGGATTGACAAATTCTCCTGAAGTGTTGCGGCCAAAAGAAATGCGAAAAAGGCATCCATGAATAATCCAGAACTTATTTTTGTCCTCCTTATTCTCTGTCTCATATTGGTGTTGTGCTAGCAATTCAATGAATGTTCCAACGGAAGCGTCACCACGAACAAAAATTGCAAGGCTTTGGCTGTTGATCTCGGGGTGCACGACCATCCCCATCATGCCGTGTTCGGCAGCGGCTTGCTGATGTGCAGCGATTCCGCCATGTGCGTCATGTGCCTCGCACAACGTAACAATATGGGCAACATTGCGAAAGACTAAATAAGGAAGTGCACGGTATTGAATGTCTTTTCTGGCCCAACTCGGGAATCTGTGTTGGCCAGCAATATATGGGATTCTGTTAATGGCTCCTAGGTTGAAAGAAAAAATTCCTAGCTGATAACTATCTTTTTGAGTTTCGGCCATGTTATCCGATGTTCGGAGTGCCAATCCCTGAGCGGCTCTTTTGCCCAACATACATGTGCGAAACAATTCAAGCAAACCTAAAACTTCATTATCAGAAAGCTCGGAATCTTCAGGATACGAAAATTAAGAAAATTTCTGGACGCCATATAGGGAGAGATTTTTCATCCTGAGAATCGACAAAGTGAGTTTCAATAGTGGGGATACGTTCACCACCCTCGAGCTCATAGACAAAATTGCAAAGTCAAAATCTTCAATACCATTTCGGGCAAAGCTCTGCAAAACTGTATTGCCAAATCTCTTTTCTGTTTTTAGAATTTCCATTAGATCATCAAAATTCTCTTTCCGCGTTCTGGATTGTGTGTCGCGGTCTGGGCCGAAGACTGAGGCATTTTCTAAAACTGTGTCCAAAAGTTCTTGAATATCAACAGTTGAACCTTCTGCCCCAATGCTATCTGGCATAAATTCAGCGGAAACCTCTGATGAATAGTTGACCACGTGGTGATTGCAAGCTCGGCCGTCTCTTCGGCATTGGAGACAAAATGCTTGACCACAGGCATGACACCAGAGCATTGAATTATCATTTTTACATGTTTCAAAATTTGAACAACATTGAGGACCAATTGGACGCGGCCACCAGGCAGTGGTTTCAAATTCATGATTAAAATCGTCAAAAACTTTCTGAGCCGATTCGGCATCCTTGAAAAGTTCGGATGCATTGGAAGTAGGCATTTTGGAAGACTTTCGGACTTCAGTACGTTTATTAACAGTCGCCATGGTGTCGGCAGGTGCAGAATCGGATTCGGGTGCTGTGAGATCGGCATCGGTTGTTTGCGCCGGAGTTTCGGCAGGAGACAGACCGGCTGCTTTCGACCTAGCAACTGAAGTTGGCGTGTCCGTGGATCCGGAGCTTCTTGCTGGTGCAGGTGGTGGTTTAGGTACCTTAACAGGCATCTGCTTAGGCAAAATAGGTTTAACAGGTTGTGCAACTGACTCAGATTCGGAAAAGTCGGAAATGTTGATCCTTTTCAAATTACGATCAGTTTCCTTTTTGGCCTTTCTCTGGAAATGTTCAATTAGTTGTTGTCTGACTCGATCAGTTCTCTTTTCTTGTTCTGTTCTAGGAGGACCGCGAGCCATGTCGTTCGGCGTGGGTACCTGCCTAATTGGACGACTTGGAGCGGCATTTGGCTTGAGAATCTTACGGAGATAAGACTCTGTAATCAACATGTCAGACATTTGGCCAGTTAAATAGTGGGTGTATTCAGAATAATCCCACGTGATATTATTGTCATTATTTTCATTCATCTTATTGTAATATATCTGGTATCGAGTGAGATGAAGGGCTGTTTCAACATTACCCCCATAGTCACGCATTCGGTCAAGATCTTCTGAAGGTGGAACTTGGATCCAGGTTTGATCAATCAATGACCATACTCCACAAATTCTGTCCCATGGTACCAGTACCGATGTATCAATGTATTAGTATCAGTACAATGTATCAGCGCAATGTACCTGGCATCTGGCCTACCAGGTCTACCAGGCTACCAGGCCCCACCTACCAGGCCCAACCAGGCCCTACCACGACCTAGCCCTACCAGGACCTACCAGAACCCAGCCCTACCCGGCCTGGGCTTCCCAAAAGACGACACGCTGGATCACATACATTTTTGGCAGCCCCCAAAAACACCTCCAAAACAACATACTTTTTCTGACGCACATTTGAAAAAGCAGTGTAAAATGTATGTTTCCCTGAAATCGCCAAAAATTGGCAAAAAAATGCATCAAAATTTTGTCTTCCAACCGCTGACCGTAAAATGTATGTTTTTGACTCTGGGGCTTCAATTTCAAGTTTGGAATCTTGAAATTTCATTCCAAAAATGAAAAAACATACATTTTACAGTGTAAAATGTATGTTTTTGACTCTGGGGCTTCAATTTCAGGCTTGGAATCTTGAAATTTCATTTCAAAATCTGGGGCTTGAATTTCACGCTTGCAATCTTGAAATTTCATTCCAAAATTGGGAAAACATACATTTTACAGTGTAAAATGTATGTTTTTGACTCTGGTGCTTCAATTTCAGGCTTGGAATCTTGAAATTTCATTCCGAAATTGAAAAATATGTTTTTGACTCTGGGGCTTCAATTTCAGGTTTGGAATCTTGAAATTTCATTCCAAAAATGAAAAAACATACATTTTACAGTGTAAAATGTATGTTTTTGACTCTGGGGCTTCAATTTCAAGTTTGGAATTTTGAAATTTCATTCCGAAAATGAAAAAACATACATTTTACAGTGTAAAATGTATGTTTTTGACTCCGGGGCTTCAACTTCAGGTTTGTTTTGACTCTGGGGCTTCAATTTCAAGTTTGGAACCTTGAAATTTCATTCCAAAATTGCAAAAACATACATTTTACAGTGTAAAATGTATGTGTTTGACTCTGGGGCTTCAATTTCAGGTTTGGAATCTTGAAATTTCATTCCAAAATTGAAAAAACATACATTTTACAGTGTAAAATGTATGTTTTTGACTCTGGGGCTTCAATTTCAGTCTTGGAATCTTGAAATATCATTCCAGAATTGTAAAAAACATACATTTTACAGTGTAAAATGTATGTTTTCACACAATTGGCATGATCCAAACATGTTTTTTCAGAAAACAAGCCCTGAGCCAAAAACATACATTTTACAGTGTAAAATCTATGTTTTTGACTCTGGGGCTTAAATTTCAAGCATGGAATCTTAAAATTTCATTTCAAAATTTTTAAAAAGGAACATTTTACAGTGTAAAATGTATGTTTTTGACTTTGGGGCTTCAATTTCAAGCTTGGAATCTGGGGCTTCAATTTCAGGCTTGGAATCTTGAAATTTCATTCCAAAATCTGGGGCTTCAATTTCAGGCTTGGAATCTTGAAATTTCATTCCGAAATTGAAAAATATACATTTTACAGTGTAAGACAACATGTCAGGTTGTGGTTTGTGTACTCTGTGTCTAATCGAGATTTCAGGGTTGGAAATCTTGAATTGGTCAGGTTCCAAAATTGAAAAAAACAAGAAAAGTACTTTTACGAAGTGTAAGACTTTGATGCTTTTGACGCGGTCGTTCAATTTCGCGGTGGCTTTTGGTAACTTGAAATAGATAGTCATACGCAGGGAGAATTTTGAAAAAAAAACATGACATGGTGGTACACTACGAAGAGGGGGGACAATTGGCATTAATCCAACATGTTTTTGTCATGAAACAGCCCTAGATGGGGGACCAAAAACAGGGGTGACTGCATTGGTAAAGCAGTGAC